ACCAACATGATTATATAACTTACAGTCTTTGTATTTTTATAATTTATATCTTTTGCATATATTAAGTACTTGAAAAGTACTTCATTGGCTCTCCATAATTCTTTATATTGTAAAAGTATTTGAAAATTCAGTGAATTGACTAAGCAGTAATATCCCAAGTGCATTATAACTGGAAAATATAAATACATGCATTAACACCACAAATTTTTGCCACACACATTTTTCATCTTGACATACTTGGACCTGAGTTTGAAATATGCTTATTCTAAGTTTGAATAATCTTCCACATTTATCAAAGGATTGATTTTTGCTCATAATCATTTTATTTGAAGTTAAATTGTTCTTATGATCATAGTTGGTAGATTGGTTGTTGGTTTTAACACAGTTTTAAAACCACGTCAGTGATCGTGGTTTAAAATCTAACAGTTTTCACTTCTCATTTACCAGGGAAACTATCCTATGTTATTTACCTCTAAATTCAGATGGTGGGAGTGGGATGGGGTTCTGAGGGAGAGGGGAAGTGATTGTCTGAAACAGTATAATTGACTTTAAGAGAATGACTCTCAATGAAGTGTATACCCATAAGAATACTTATTGAGAACAACAAAAAACAAGTATGATTAAATTAAGTAGAAAAAAGAATTTATTACTAGAATAGTAGGTAGCTCACAGAATTGCTGGAAAGGCTGGAGAATGAGTTTGGAAAACAGAAGCCAAAGGAAACTGGATGACCAAAATCATAGCCTAATTCTTACCTCAAAAAGAACTGAAAGTTTGTGTATGTATCTACTGGTAGTGGTGTCTCTGAAAACTGGATTCCAAACACTCTGTTTATTTGAATCATTCATTCCAGATTCAAAGTCTGATGGGAATGTCCAACTAACCAAGATTAGTCTTATGCCAGCACTTGGTCGGTCAGGCATCAAAGACAGCAAGTATATCTGACCTTCTCAGCTTCTACAGGAGAAGATGGGACCGTTTCTCTCACCAAGATCCACCAAGCATATGAAATATGCTTGAGCACCAAATATAGAAATATTAGAGGTCAACTGTAGTCTATCTCTTTGTTTTTCTTTTTTTTTAATTTTTTAATATGTTATTTATTTTGAGAGAGAGAGAGACAGAGCTTCAGCAGGGAAAGGGCAGAGAGGACGAGGGAGACACAGAATCTGAAGCAGGCTCCAGGCTCTGAGCTGTCAGCACAGAGACCTATGCAGGGCTCGAACCCACAGATCATGAGGTCGTGACCTGAGCCAAAGTTGGATGCTCAACCAACTGAGCCACCCAGGCACCCCAATCTCCTTGTCTTTCTCCCATCAACATATGCCATTCTCCTCATATTTACACATTACATAATACTAATGGTATAATTTTCCTAACATAATATATTATTATATCATCCACTTTCAAGTCCAGAATGTGATGTCTATCCCTCCTCTAATACTGTAATGATCTTGTCTCAGTAGTATGCAGCCCATAGACCTAACCACCACCACCCCTATATACAAAAATAGTATAAGATAGGAAAGAAAAATTACTAAAAATATAAGCACATACATGTACCAATGAGGAAGAAAGTAAAGCCTGAACAGGGCTTTGCAAACTTTGACAATTACCTGAACTACTTGTTAAAAATAGAAGTTCCAGGGGTGCCTGGGTGGCTCAGTTGGTCAAGCATCCGACTTCGGCTCAGGTCATGATCTCGCATTGTGTAAGTTTGAGCCCCTCATCAGGCTCTGTCTGACAGCTTAGAGCCTCGAGACTGCTTCAGATTCTTTGCCTCCCTCTTTCTCTGCCCCTCACCTGCTCATGCGCTCTCACTCTCAAAAATAAAACATTTAAAAATTTTTTTTAATTCCAGAGCCCTATTACAGACAAACTGAAACAATCTCCAGGGTAGGATATGTGGAGCAGCATGTTTTGTCGCAAAGGTGTCTGATTTAAGAAAAACAAAACACAAAAACCTACAGCCCTCAATTCTCTGGCAGGCCATGAGGCTAGATGGTTATGACTTGTCACCACTGCCATTTATCCCATTTCCTTTATGTTCATCTGCTATCTCAGTAGATGAGATTTCCTTACCTAGTGGTTGATGCAAGGATCTGAGGCTTAAGTGGTCTTGCCTATATATGGTTGCAGATCTTTGCTTAATTTTTATCAACATTGGTATAGTGAAGAGATATTCCAGGAGATAAGATCTGCCAAGTTCTAGTTAGACTCCTTTCCCTACTCCCTTTTCTTCCATGGTCTTTAGGGCCAATCACCCCAGCTAGCACCATAACCAATTTTCTATGTCCTTACCTAGAAGAATGAGCTAAAAATAACCAGGTTACAACCCCAACTTTCAATGCGGAGAATACATTGTATCCCCTTGTACCCCACTCTGGGTACAAAAATTGGTAGCCAACAGAACCTGGAATCATGGAAATGGATGTGGTGAAGGTCTAAGATTTTATCCTGTTTGTAGCCTTGCTTGATACAGAGAAATGGATGCCAACAGGAGACTCCCAGGTACCAAACACTTCATTATAGCAAAATCATAGTCAAAGTAATCATCATATTTGCACTAGCTCCTGGAGCCCCGATTCCCACACTGATGTAGAAGGCCAGATGACACCTGTACACACTATGGGTTGCATCACAGGAAAAAAGTACAGGGCCAAGGGCCAAGCAGTTTTTGAGCAAACAGCAAAGAAGCCAGTCTCTTTCCCCCAGGGGAGCAGCAGTTAAATGGTAGTAATACTCTATTAGATGCCTATATGATTGACTATGGAAATTGCTAAGTATCAGGAGATGGATAAGCCTTGCTGTTAGCATACTCAGCAATAATATGAAGGGAGGCCCAGGCCCCATGGTAGATTGTCTATATAACAAGATGTTAGTCCCTCTACTACTCTTTGTATCCTGTTATTCTGTCAACAGAAGAAATACTACTGAAAATATTAAGTCATTTGAAGCATATGCCAACTCCTTTAGGAGCATCTCAAAGTATATTTTCTCATCTCGTTCCAAAAGTAAACCTTCAGTAGGGTTGTCCATTATTCTAGAAGACCAGTTGCTTCTGGACTGATGGGGATACATGCTCAGGCTTGTTAATCCCAGAGATACCAGTACTCTTACATCTTTCACAGGAAAGCAATTCTTTGATAAGCAGTGTTGTGTGGGATAAGCAGTGTTATATAAGGTATATGTAGTATAAGGTATTCAGTAAGTCCACAGAAGTAAAAGTCAGGGGAACCAATCTAAGTGCAGTATCATTGTTCCTATAGAACAACTTGCTACCTCGTTCGTTATAGTAGGATTCCATTGTAATCAAACCTGCTACCCTGGCTGTATAGTGCTATATCAGGGGGACAGGTTATTCATTGCACGTAGTGGTGCTAGCCAATCCGTCTTGGCAGGGGAAAAGACTATGTTAAAAATATATATGTATGTCTCTGCCACCATGGCTACCTGGTAGTGGGTCCAGCTGTGGTGGGAGAAGGAGGCTGACTGATGTCTACAAAATGGGTCATTGTGGTAGGCAGCCTCTAAAATGGCTTTCAATGATCCCCATCTGCTGGTATTCATCCTTTGTGTAACCTCTTCTCTTTGGAGGGCTCCTGGATTCCTGACCCATAAAAATTGAGAATGAGTGTTTATTGTTTCAAGACAGGAAATTTTGGTATATGTTATGGAGTGATAAGTAATAGTAATCTTGTTCTGATTAAGAGAGCTTCTGGAATGGGGGCATTTTTTTTTTTTAAGCGACGAGATCCAAATGTTCTTATGCTTTGGAGTGATTTTGAGAGGTCCTATTCCAAAACCTTTACATTCCCAGTCTCTGACCACTTGACTAAACCAGTGCCCATGAAATGATGTAGATCTTTAGAACTTTATTTCAAGCTACATCTCCTTCCAGACAGGCAAAGTGTACAAGATAAAGTTCCAGTCTCTTGACAGTATCTCTCCCCTGACATCTCTCTGTATGCCAACCTCCCCTCCTGTTACTTCACAGCCTCTGTTAAATGAGGCTCTAAATGCCAAGACAGTCCACTGACAGCTGAATCAGTATATTTAGCAAAGCCATCTGTAATCCAGCTTCGAATTTTTTCCTCAGTCAACTGGTCACAAGCAAGTTGTTATTAAGCTATAAATATAAACTAAGGGTCAAAAGTATGTGTGGGAGCTTCCTGCTAAATTGCTTGCGTTTTGTTTCTGGCCCTGTTCTCTATATAATACTTACTCTTAGTAAAAGGACTCATTATCTGGGAGGATCAGATAACTCCCAGTTCATGATGAGAAACTCAGATTGCATAGCCACCTAACGTCACATTGTCAGGCATTACCAGCACCCAACAGTTAGCCAAGAATTTTTTTGAAAAATAAAGTAAAAACCTAGGGACCTGCACTGTGATTCTGTAAAGGTTTCTACAAGTTACATAAAGCCTCCTGATCTGCCACATATGTTCCAAACACCATTGCAACTGTTGGAATTTAAGGGCCAATTGGCAGAGCTCCTTCCACTGCAGCCTTGACCAGATGGCAAACCTTTTCTTGCTCTGCACTTCACTGACAACTGTCATCTTTCAGGTCACCTGGTCAATGAGTCAGAACTGACGGATTAGTTCACTGAACAACTAGATATTTTAAAAGTAAAAGGAAACTGAGGAGAAAGAAAACTATTACACTGGCAAAGAGTAAGATACTTTGTATACTATAAAAGAGATCTTTCAAAAGACCTTTGTCTCAGATTAAGAGGAGTACACGGAATTATTCCCTCATCCAACGTCAGCCATAATTTGGGATTTTAATCAGCATGGGGGTCAGGGCAGTTTGAGTCGCTCTTCGCGAGAAGACTGACGCCCTCAATCCACCTTTTCCTACACCGTTGTGGACCGGAGCACAGATTCCTAGAAGAGAGCTCTGGAAGCCCCGCCCCGCCCCGCCCCGCCCCGCCCGACCTCTCTCACGCCCCGCCCCTCTTTACGCAGGCCCCACCCAATCACACGCAGGAACCGCCTCACGAGAGAGAGAGAACGCCAGCCCGCCTGTGGGGTGGGCTCGCCCGCCACCGCGCCGCCTGCTCTCTGTTCGTGCTGGGCCCAGAGGACGCTGTAGGAGCTGCCACCATGACTGTAACGGGGCTAGTTCGGTTGCTTGGCTGCATCCCGGCCACCGCGTGGAGAGCGGCAAGTAAGGCGCCCGGCCCCGGGCCCAAGGTTGCGGGCGGGGTCGTGAAGGCCCGGCGCCGCGAGAAAAGCCTCCCTCGGGGAAGCCGCGTGTGTCTCAGGAGTCTGAAGGTTCCGGGGGCTGCTGCAGAGCTCCTCTTTATCGGCTCGGCCACCCACGTCTTGGCCCGGGCAGGTCCTTCCACCGCCCCGGCTCAAGGGTGGGAGTAGGGCTGAGAGATCACCCACGCCCTTCCATGCTGGACACCTGCGTCCTTCCGGTCACTGCTCTGGTCCGGAAGGGCAGCAAACATTCTTGGTTGTTTACTTAGTGAGTAGAGCTCACTACGTTTTGATGCTCTTGGAAAAAGAAAAAAAGGAAAAAACGGCCCTTTGGGAACGAGAATCATTAATTTAGTTTCATTTACTTAATTTTCATCAAAAAAAGTGGCAGTTTACTGTATTAAAAATTGGAAAAGTGCAGACGTGGCCCCAAGGTAGCAAATTAGTATAATAAAAATTAGATGAAGTCGAATTGTTAATACAAAGGAAGTATGTATGCTTTCAGTAAAAACTGACATTTTTAAACCTATTTTGTTGGAAGTTTTTCTCAATATTTTAAACTTAACCACAATTAGTTTTAATTGAGGACATCCTGGAGAAACTGTAGTTTAAAACAATTACTGCTCCTCATATTATTGGACCCCAGATTTCTATGCAGTTTGCTTTTTGTAATCATTTCTCCCCAGACGTATTACTTGTTCATTGTAAACATTTTAAATGTTCCTGGAATGAATAATATATAAAGTGAAAATCCCACTTTATCCAGCCTTCAAGGTAATAACTGCAGATTTTGTTGTGTGTTCATTCACCTTCTCTTTGGTACTTGTATTAAACACTTAAGAATGAAGTATTTGATACCCAAAACCTGTACAATACATGTAAGTTATGAAGCAGAGCTTACATTCATGAATCCATTTTCCAATTTAAGAAACGATATTTCTGTTACCAAACAGCCACCTGTGTGCTTTTTCCCCCGATGCAGCCCTGTAACTTTACACGTTTGTGATCTTCATAGAAATGACTTCTTACCAATTGTATTTTACTTTTTTTCAACGAACTGTATCTTGAGAGTCATCTATGTTGCTGTGTGAGGTTGTAGTTAATCATTCAGTGGTGAGAATATATCCTACAATTTTTCCGTTCTTCTCAGTGGACATTGGGTAATTCTGGAAACGCCAAGATTGGCTGCTGCACATTCTTGCATAAGGTATGGGTGCTTTCATGCAGGGAGTGGAATTCCTGGAACCTATGGTTGTAGGCCTTTTCAATTTTATGATGTGATGCCAAGTTGTAAAGGCATTTTCCATTCCTACTGGCGATTACATGCTTACCAGCAGTGTATTAGAGTTCTATTCTAATACTTGTCAACATTTGATAATCGTCAGAAAATATAATTTTTGTCTGAATGGGGTTTTAAAATGGTGATTTTGCTTTAGGAGAATTTGGGTTTTATGGAGCGCCTGAGTGGCTCAGTCAGTTGAGCCCCTCCCCCACTTGCAATCTGTCTCTCTGTCTCTCTCAAAAATAAGTAAACATTATGGGGCACCTGGGTGGCTCAGTCGGTTAAGCGTCCGACTTCTGCTCAGGTCATGATCTCACGCTTCGCGGGTTCGAGCCCCATATCGGGCTCTGTGCTGACTGCCAGTTCAGAGCCTGGAGCCTCTTTCAGATTCTGTGTCTCCCTCTCTCTCTGACCCTCCCCTGCTCATGCTGTCTCCCTCTCTTTCTCAGAAATAAATAAAACATTAAAAATTTTTTAAATATAAACATTAAAAAATATTTTTTAAAAAATCTGGGTTTTGTATCCAGTAGCCTAGCTCAATTACTTTTCTCTTTTAATTTCTCTGATTAGAAAACTTAAACATCTTTTCAAATATTTATATTACCTTTTTAGGTGAAATCTCCTCATTTTCTTAATGGATTATTTGCCTTTTTTTTTTTTTAATGTTTATTTTTGAGAGAGCATGAGCTACGTAGGGGCGGAGAGAAAGGGGGACAGATCTGAAGTGGGCTCTGTGCTGACAGCAGCGACCTGGATGCAGGACTCGAACTACTGAACCCAATCATGACCTGAGCCAGAGTCGGAGGTTCAATCGACTGAGCCAACTGGTGCCCCCATTTTTATCTTTCTTATTGATATTCTTTACATATGATTGAATACTAAACCTTTTTTAGTTATGTAAGTGGCAAATAACCCAGTTTTGGTGTGTTGTTGCCACCCATGGTGTCTTTTTTAAAAAATTATATACAGCGTAGCAGAGTAAAATAATGGATCTGCATGTACAATCACACATCTTCAAAAGAAAGATGTCTTTTGATGAACAGATAATCATAATTTTATTGTAATTTTGTCTTGGTCTTTTGTTTATTGTCAGTGCTTTGTGATCTTGTCCAAGAAAGCCTTTTCTTTTTTCTTTTTTTTTTTTTTTTACAAATAGTTTATTGTCAAATTAGTTTCCACATAACACTCAGTGCTCATCCCCATAAGTGTCCTCCTCTATGCCCATCCCCCCCCCATATCCATCAGTCCTCAGTTTTTGTCAGCATTCAAGAGTCTCTCATGGTTTGCCTCTCTCCCTTTCCCCCACCATTTCCCCCCTTCTTCTCCCCCTTGTTCCTCCGTCAAGTTCCTCCTAATCCTCCTATAGATGCAAACATATGATATTTGTCCTTCTCTGCCTGACTTATTTCGCTCAGCATAACACCCTCAAGGTCCATCCATGTTGCTACACATGGCCAGATTTCATTGTTTCTCATTGCCATGTAGTATTCCATGGTATAGATAAACCACATCTTCTTGATCCATTCATCTGTTGATGGACACTTAGGCTCTTTCCATGTTTTAGCTATTGTGGAGAGTGCTGCTATGAACA